AACCATCAGCCAGGACACTTGAGGGCTGATTTATTTTATACCTAACTCTGCAAGAAGGATGTTTTTTGCTGCTGACAAGAGCTAATGACAAAAGATCTAGGTTCTGCCACTGGCTGGAGAGGAGAAGACTTGAGCTGGTGCATTCATGGAGCCCGGAGGCGGGGGGTATTCCTCAGTGGGCAGTTTTCCCAGTTTTCACAGGTCCTGGATGCCTCTAATCTGCCTGACATCTGGATTCAATTTCTTCAAAGAAAGAACCTGCGACATTTTAATCCCTTTGGCGGCTTGAAGTCTCGGGGAAAACGAAAGCATCCATTACACTCCTAGCATATTCATTTTCATTGTTGTGCATGTACGTTTTGAAATCCTATTTACTAGGACCAGAAATCCACCTAAAAAGTCACTTTAAAGCTATTCTTAACGTGCTATATATAGTGTAACACGCCAAACACTGGAGGACTGGAATAAATAAGATCTCCATAGGCCATGATCTTCTCCCATACATGTTCAGGGACACAGGCCAGTCAGACACCCTCTGCCATACACAACGTTGTTTACTGTCCGTGAGCTGTGTTTAACATTCCACTCCCAGATATTTATATTCAGAGCCAAATTCAGAGCAGTATTCTGGAAAATGAGCAAAAGTAGGCTATGACCCATCAAGAGACTATTGGGTCATCTGTAAAGTTTACGAGCCGGTCTGGAATCCAGCATTTATTTTGGATGGTGGGAGGTGACTATAATTAGCTGCCGTTCAACTCCATTATACAGTTGCAAATTAAATAAAAAAAAAAAGCAACGCAAAGTACAGATACATTTTTACTGAAATATAACCTGCATTCTGCAAAAAACAAGTCACCTCAACCATCCCCGAAAAGTGAACGTTTGTGCGCTCAGGCCAGAAAAGCAATTTCCATCTTATGAATATGAATGTGCCACCAGAAAACACGGAACCCTCCGATCTCGTGATGTTATTAAACGCAACGTCTGCCCTAACACCAAAGTAATGGAGCGAGAAGCTACAGTTGACTTCAGCTCCCGACCTGCTCACGTGCCAAATGTTGTTTTTCGGAGTTGGCGCGGTGTAGCCAATGCCAGAGATGTTCGTTTTTGATCAAAGTCTATTTCCAAATACAAATTTGTAATTTATGCACGGGCACGTTCTCGCATGAATCAGACACGCCAATAAAATTCCCATAAAAGTCCTCTCGAGCGGTTGTATCTTTGGGAGGGGGAAGGGAATTAGGAAGGACTGTTTTTGTTGTTGCTTTAAAGCTTGTGGATATAGATTCTAAAGGAAGGAGTTAGCGCTGCAGCTTCCTGCATTATTTAGTGATGATCTTTAGGCAGTGTTATCCCAGCCTGAAGCCAAGCTGCATATGGGGACTCTGACTGTGGAAAGACACTCATTGATGGTTTCAAATGATCCGGAGCAGCAAAAATGCAGACACAAGGATTCTCTCCTCTCCACCTCCTCTTTTTTTTTTTTTTTTCCCCCAAGAAATACTTTACATCAAAACAATTCAGTGTTTATCTGCCTTCCCTAGAGAGATCTTCGCCCTCAGCTTTATCATCTCTTTATCATCTCAGTCTCTGCTGCCAGCACTAGTACAACTCTAGGGCTTGTTTGGGCTGAACTTCTATCCAGGCTGAGGAATATTCACAGAACTGGTCCCAAAAAGGTGGGTACGGGTTTGAGAAGGACACAGCATGGATGTTCATAAAAAAGGGTCCTCGCTAAGACTTCACTTCCTCTCTGAAATCCCTCTTCCTAAAGCCCTACAAGGACATCCCGTAACCAACAGAACACACCGTCCAGACGAGACGTGATTCTTGCCCGTTACTCAGCCTGGGTTTATTTTGCTTCTGGTGAAACACACCATCGGATCTGTCTATTCCCTGTCATTTAGCTAGTATTTATCTAGTTGCTAACAAACATCCAAGATATACACACACCTTCAAAAAAAACAGTGCTGCTTCCTCCTGTGAATCATTCACCACCTTTACATAACTGTGGGGTAATAGAATCATGGAACGGTTGGAGTTGGAAGGGACCTTAGAGATCATCGAGTTCCAACCCCCCTGCCATGGGTAAGGACAAATGCCATCACTTAATAAAAAGTTGGTCATAAACCTACCTGAAATGCAAAAAATAACTCTCCGTTTTAAAGCGTGAAGATCTGCTTGAGAAATTCCTGTCCTCAGTTTCTTGTTTCTGTTCCTGCATTGCAATTTACTCCCCTTTCTGTCTCAACCAGGCGATTATCAACAGCCCATGTTGTAGCAACAGCTCCAGACACAATCTGGGGAAAAAAAATACCTTCTTTCTCCCCAAAGGAGGGTGTTTTGGCACAAGAGAAGGGCTGGCGCAGTGCTGATGCTGTAACTGTCATGGGTTGTAGCTTCCCACTCATATTTTGGTAATGTTTGGAGGGTTTTAGGCTGTATGTCAAATTAGAAGCTTTAATAGATCTGGTTTGGTTTTGAGTAGGACCCTGGGTGATAAGGAGGTCACCAAGCCCAAATAAATGGGAATAGCTGGGGCATCACAGCCCATCTGAACTGGCATCATCTCCCCTGCCATGTTGCATACCATCTGCCTGGTATGCAGAACAATAATCTACAATATGTGAGTTAAAAAGCCTTAAAGGACTGCTCAGCCTTTTTTTAGAAGGACAGGTAGACATCCAAATTAAATAATCCCTTCCCCCTATCTTTATTTTAAAAATATACATGGGGTAAGGTGCCAAGTCGGGGATACTGGGGTGCAATTCCCTGCTCTAAAGCAGCTTTTCATGGGATCGCCATCGACACGGTGGTTTTGTCAGCACAATTATGTCTAGTAGGAGTGTGAATGCAACATGCTGGCAAAACTCCTCCGTTATTACAAGTACGGTGATAAAACAGCAGCTTGTCAGCTGAGCTATATTTGCTGGGGGAGATAAAGGAGCTGCAATAACAGTTATGCTGTGAGGTTAGACATTTTAGAGAACCAACCCCGAAAAATCAGTTCCCATCTGTAAGATGGGGGTAAACAATATGGTCTGACCTCCACGTAACATTCTTAAATCGTCTTGGTCTTCTCTTGTGTCCTTATTTCATCAGTTAAATAGATATACCCATGTCTGATGGAGCCAAATTTTAGGCTTTTGGTTCACCCTCATCAAATCCAGACAGAACAAAGTATAATCTGTGCTACCTCACATGTGCTCGATGAGACTCAGATATCTGAGTTTCAAAAATCTAACTATAAATAGTTGACTGCGCTGCTTTTGAAACATTAAATACCCTTGAGAGTCAGTATCAAAAAAAGCCTGAAAATGACAATCCAATCAGTACCATTAATGTATTTTAACAAGAGCAGTGGAGTCTATCTGAGGGGTGTGCCTCAAACTCTCAGCTGTCCAGGACAGCCTGACCCTTTCAAAAGAACAAGTTAAAAAATCAGGTTAAACAAAAGCTGCAGTCTGAACTTTGACTGTATTAGCCTCGGGATTTCCCTTTTTTTTTTTGGAAGATTTCTGTCGAAACTCTTAAAAGGCAAGTACACAAATTACTGTTGATATTTTCGTTTCACCTTGAAGTGACTGCTTTGTGGGAGAAACCCTAATTCATGCAATTTTGTCCAACACATAAAAAGGTAGCCCAATTAAAAAGAAAAAAAAAAAAAAAAAAAAAAAAAACCTTAAAAGAACAAGTTAAAAAATCAGGTTAAACAAAAGCTGCAGTCTGAACTTTGACTGTATTAGCCTCGGGATTTCCCTTTTTTTTTTGGAAGATTTCTGTCGAAACTCTTAAAAGGCAAGTACACAAATTACTGTTGATATTTTCGTTTCACCTTGAAGTGACTGCTTTGTGGGAGAAACCCTAATTCATGCAATTTTGTCCAACACATAAAAAGGTAGCCCAATTAAAAAAAAAAAAAAAAAAAAAGAAGAAGAAAATCCTTTTCCCTGAGGGCAGATTTCCAAGCTGTAACACTCCCATCTGCATCAGAAAACCAGAAAGACCTCAGAAACAAAACAAGCCCAAAACACAGTCAGTTCAGAGGCATCACAGCCCTCTGCAGATAATCTTTTTTTTTTTCTCTTTTCCCTCCCCTACTGGGAAATTACAGGGATGGTCTTATCTGGAAGAGGAGATCTAGTCTAGAGGGGTCAAAGCCCAGATTTACCCTGTTGGACCGGACAATTGGTCGTGGAAAGCATCCAGCAGTAGCCAGGTTAAGTGAGGCTAATAAATAATGCAGAAATGTAAAGTAGGTGACAACAACAGAGGATGCCTTGGTCATTAGGTCAAACAGGAAATTCTCCACTAACAAATTACTTCTAATCCCAGTCTAATAAACCATAAACCCCACTTAGTTAACTCTCAGCTCAACAGTTACCTTTCTGGGAAAAACCCTATTTCTCTTCCTTCCTCTTTTCAGGGAAGTGTCCGACAGTGAGACCTTGAGGACAGATGGCCAGTGGGAAGTAGTTTCTCTTTCAGAAACCCAAACTTGGATAATCCTCGGAAAAAGTTACAACTCTGCACTTCCCCACCCTTATTTTTGTAAGTCACTTTAATCCCTAGCTTTAAGAACAATTTACCACCCAGCCAGTCCAGCTTGTTTGCAGTACGACGACGTGCACTAACCAAAGTCAAACAAAAGCAACGTGTGAAGGGTCTTTGCACAGTTTTGCTTCCTGGCACTTGAAAACGCTTATGTTCTTGCTGAGGACGGGTGACACACATTTATTTCACACAACGTTAAAACCGTGGCGGATTTAGGATTCAAATGATTAAAACCCAGAGATCACAAAGAGCGTTATGGATATCACCAGGCAGGACTCAGCCCACCCCAGAGGTGTACACAAGAGCAAACACAGCTGTACCCGTCTCTAAACTGTTGATAGTGAAATGCAAACACACAATATGTGACGTTCCCCGGTAAGGAACCACTAGAGTCGACAGAGCAGATGATTGCACAAGACCGTAGAGGAACGTGTTTTGATTACCTTGAAGTCAAGGCTGCAAATACTGACTGCATCATCGTCTTTCTCTCGGCGCTTCCTCTTCTGCAAGAAATGGAACAGAATTGTAACTCTACACTCGATTTGCGTTCAGAAAGAAGGCTCTGTTTATTATGAAGCATAATAGAAACATTTTTGTCCAGTTTTGGGCACCTCAATACAAGAGAGATCTCGAGGTGTTGGAGCGAGTGCAGAGGAGGGCAATGAAACTAGTGAAGGGCCTGGAAGACAAATCATATGAAGAGCAGCTGAAGGAGCTGGGACTGTTTAGTTTGAGGAAGAGGAGGCTGAGGGGAGACCTCATCACTCTCTACAGCTACTTGAAAGGACACTGTAGAGAGGTTGGTGCTGGTCTCTTCTCACAGGTAATTAGTGACAGAACGAGAGGGAATGGCTTCAAGCTCCAACAGGGTAGGTTTAGACTGAACATTAGGAAGGAATTTTTCACCGAAAGAGTGGTCGGGCATTGGAACAGGCTGCCCAGGGAGGGGGGGGAGTCACCATCCCTGGATGTGTTTAAGGGACGTTTAGATGCAGTGCTAAGGGACATGGTGTAGGGGAGGACTTTGTAGAGTAGGGTAGATGGTTGGACTCGATGATCCCAAGGGTCTCTTCCAACCTCAATGATTCTATGATTCTATGATTTTCTTTCTTAGACCTCCCAGCTAACTGTAATAACTCAAAAATTAAAGGCTGAAAACAAATGCAAAGCAGATTTATGCTGTTTCATGAGGTTTGTCACCTGATCAATACCTATAAATATCAGTCTGGAGAAGAGAAGGCTCCAGGGAGACCTTATAGGAGCCTTTTAGTCCCTAAAGGACTAGGGAGAGATGGGAAGGAACTCTTGGTCAGGGAGTGATAGGACAAAGGGGAATGGTTTTAAACTGAAAGAGGAGAGATTTAGATGAGATATTAGGAAGAAATTTTTCACTGTGAGGGTGGTGAGAGCCTGGCCCAGGTTGGCCAGAGAAGCTGTGGCTGCCCCATCCCTGGAGGGGTTCAAGGCCAGGTTGGAATAAGCTCTGAGCAACCTGGTGTGGTGGGAGGTGTCCCTGCCCAGGGCAGGGGGGTTGGAACTGGATGATCTTTAAGGTCCCTTCCAATGTGAACCGTCCTCTGATTCTATAAATTATATTCCTATAAACTTATTTCTCTGCACTCCCATAATTGTGGTTGTGAGTAAAGTCTTCGGCAGGAAATCTCCGTCGCAGGACAGAATGCAGCGGTTACCACTGTGAAATTATTTGAGATTCATTTAGTTCAATGAAACATTTTTTGTGGTTTCTGAGGTCAGCAATCCAGCAATAAAGTTGGGGTTTTTGAAAGAGTTTTGTACTAAGAGGGTCAGACTCGGTGACTATCAGGAGCTGAGGTCTCCAGGGGACACCAGGAGATACCAGGAGATACTGCATAAAGCAGTTTTGCACTAGGTTGGTCGTTCCTGCTCCTCAGCTACCCTCCAACACCCAAATTTATTCGATTCAGGGGATTCTTGATGATTCTATGATTTTTACTGTGTATCAGGGATTTGTTTTATAGTGCTGTTCTCTAAACAGCTGAATGTGTGTACCTGAGGGCATTTTTTATTTAATTCATTAATTTGGGCATGGCCAGTAGACAGCTGTGGCTGAAGTATCCCTGCTAGGAATGCAACGGACTAAAAGAATAAGCATTTTTGTAGAATAAAGATGAGGCTTTTGGCCATGCAGCTCTCAGCTATTTTCCTTTCTAAAGAAGAGCACAAGGCAGTGGAACAACGATCAAAGCCATCTGCACTGAGCTTCCTGATACCTCCCACTATTTCTGTACTATCTGGGCTTCTACATCATTTTTTTTTCATTACTCAGATAACGGAAAACCAATTGTGGGCTCATCCTGTTTGACTGTGCCAGCCTGCAAATCACCCGGTGTGGAAAAAAAACCTGGGTCACGAGCACAAATTGTTTGGTCACCCATGAAACAAGTAGTTGATTTTCATCCTGTGTTTGACCCTTGTCCTTTGACATTTCAGAATGACTCAAGTTCATCCTCTTCCACTTCATTAAGTAGAGAGGAAAACGAAAAGAAACTATTTTGTATTTTTATATTGGCCTACATGTTGTTTATCAGTTTAAGAGAGTAGATGTTGAACTAGGTGAAATGAGGGAAACACCTTCTCTGCAGCTGCAGAGGGAAGTACTACCCCAAGTCCACTCTGAAGTTCAGCAAATTTCAGTTTTATGCTCTAACAGTCCAGCACAGAATCACAGAACGATATGGGGTTGGAACGGACCTCTGGAGATCATCTAGTCCAACCCCCTGCCAGAGCAGGGGCACACAGAGCAGGTTGCACAGGAACGTGTCCAGGCAGGGTTTGGAAGTCACCCGACAAGGAGACTCCACCACCTCCCTGGGCAGCCTCTTCCAGGGCTCTGCCACCCTCACAGGAAAGAAGTTCCTCCTCATGGTGAGATGGAACTTCCCATGTTCAAGTTTGTGCCCGCTCCCTCTTATCCTGTCACTGGGCACCACTGAAAAAAGACTGGCCCCATCCTCCTCACATCCACCCTTGAAGGATTTCTAGGCATTGGTCAGATCCCCCCTCAGTCTTCTCTCCTCCAGACTAAAAAGACCCAAGTCCCTCAGCCTTTCCTCAGCAGAGAGATGCTCTAGGCCCCTTCATCATCTTTGTAGCCTCTGCTTTCCCCACTCCAGCAGTTCCCTGTCCTTCTTGAACTGGGGAGCCCAGAACTGGACCCAGTGCTCCAGCTGGGGCCTCATCAGAGCAGAGGGGCATGATAACCTCCCTTGACCTGCTGGTCATGCTCTTCCTGATGCCCCCCAGGAGACCATTGGCCTTCTTGGCCACAAGGGCACATTGCTGGCTTATGGTCAACTTGTGCACCAGGCTACCAAATCCTTCTCCTCAGAGCTGCTCTCCAGCAGGTCACCCCCAACCTGTCCTGGTGCTGGGGGTTATTCCTCCCCAGGTGCAGCACCCTACACTTGCCCTTGTAGATTTTCATAAGGTTCCTCTCTGCCCAACTCTCCAGCCTGTCCAAGTCTCGCTGGATGGTGGCACAGCAGCTTGACCTTCTGTCAGGAGCAAATAGGTAATTCCTGTTTTCTTAGAATTTAATAATATATTCCTATAAATTAAAAGTTTCGCCTTTAATAGAGGTTTGTCATCATTGTAAGCGTATTTAAAATGTTGGAATACAAGTTGTCATTCAAATTATTTTTAAATGCTGACCAGCCTAGTTTCAATGGCTCCTTTGAAAATGTGATGCTTGTTGAGGGGATGTCCAGCTTCCCCGGAGGGTTCTAGGAAACCTGTTCTCCTGTTTGCTAGTGCTTTCACATGATGGTTTTTATGCTGCCTCTACCCTTTAACTATTAAATACACACACATAATGGTGAGATATTACAGAATTGTACTCACTAGTTTCTTATATTTTGGGTTTTGGTGCTGTGTTTTTTTTTCTCAGCTACTCAAACGAGCTACAGAAGTGGATTCAAGTACAATGTTCCCCAAGGATTTAAGTTTTTCTGTTTTGTTTTGGTTTTTTCTATATTTGCAAAGACAAGATACTGACTCTGTCACGTGAGTCCTTTCACTGAGGCTTGCTAAATCCAGAGCACAAATTCTCACATTAGACGTTATGTCTTACCATACTTATAGCACTGACACTGAATTAATGTCCCAGCACACTCCATGCTTTTTGAACAGACCTTTGGCAGGCTGGAGAACACATGCAAATGCAGACATTTGTTCTTTTAGGTTTAGTAAAATATTCAGGGTTGGTTATTTATCAAACCCCGCAATAAAAGGCTGCCATAACCACACCTTTTTGGTCCGCGGATTATTTTTCCCATATGTAAGTCAAGGATATTAGCATCTATTTAACAGAAGAAAATTTGCCATAAAGAAAAAGACACCACGCCTTTTCGGTCTGAATATTATTCGTTCCTTATGGAGTCAAGTACATTAACATCTTTAACATACAGCTCCAGACCAAAGCCCAGACACGAAAGGAAGGCCAAAGTTTTGTTTTTAAACTGGCTAGACTTATGCAATAAGTATTGCATTGGCTGGGCCCCATTTCCTTTGCCCAATATAGTTTCATACAAAAACTTAGACATTTCACTCCGGAGCCAGCTGTATCGTTCCCTCTCCGGTGCCAGAAAAGAAATAGATTCCAAGAAAACGGCCTCTTTAGACTGCTCAAATCTGGGCGTTTAAAGCCACACGATAGAAAAGCAATCGCTACGGTACCGGTTTCTCACATTTTTTGAGACGGTCACGATCAGAGACCCGATACCTTAACCTTCTCATGAAACTCAAGTCATGTGGAAAAAGTTACTTCGACGAAAGTTATTAAACTGTAAAAACTGTGAGACCCGATTTAGGCTCTCAAAGAGAAGCATAAAAAAAAAAAAAACCGTGAGACCCGATTTAGGCTCTCAAAGAGGGATTGTAAAGGAGAAGCATAAAAAAAAAAAAATGCTAATCAGGAGGGGAAATCTAAATATTTTGTGACTTTATTTTAGAAAGACCCAAACAACACCATGTGCATGAATGTTAATTATATTTCAAGGATTCTAATGAAAGCTCCGGGATCGCTTCTTAAGAAAGCGCTGTTTTTCAATTTGAAAACAATTCTAGTCATCTATTTTTCCTCTCTCCCACTAAGGGCTTTTGCCTAAAACCAGGATATTTCGTTCTTTGGGGATCAGTCTGGTTTTTGCTGCTTATTGCCCACCTGAAGTCATAAAACACCAATAAGGTTTCAGGTGAGGAATGTGCATCAAGGACCGTTAAATCAACAAAGATCAAGCGCCTGTTTCCCATAAACGAATCCTCCTTAATGAAAAGGAAGAAAGGAAAACAGACCATGAGTAACCTTGCTTCCAGTCAGAAGCCATCCAAAAGGGTGTTTTAAGCCAAACTACAGTAGTTTTTTCTTAGAATTATGCAGAACACGTACTAGTCCTTCTCTTTAAACCCACCCCGCCTCTGCAGGCACGAAAAGGACACTTGGCTGAGTTACTTGCTTCCCCTGAGGCTCAGGCCAGGTACATTTTGCAGACTTTTGGCCAAACAGCTGCACAAACTAAGGCATGAAAAGATGCTATTTGCAACTGGCATATGAGTTCTTGGTGGTCATGAGGCAAAAAAAAGACCCTCTTATGTGACACACTTAGTCCAGCACATGAGACACCAAGAAAAGTAAGAGTTCTTGATTGCCAAGGGGCTGCTGCCAAATTGCAGCGCTCTGGTCAACGTATGTCAGCCTAATTATGTTGGCAGAGCCTCTAAGTTGAGACCTGGTCCCCGGCCACGTGTCAAGGATATGTCTACTGGGCAAGCAAACTGCACAGCTATGCCCTTTCCTTTGTTAGTCTTTCTCTCCTATATTTGCTTCTCTTCCAGTGTTAGGTCTACCAGTCAAAGAGTAACCTCTAACAAGTCACAGGAAAGCTTGGATGTCCAGAAAAGGGCTGGAGTTCAGAGGTACCCACCATCTGTAGCTCCAAATGTAGCTACTCGGGCTTGAAGGGAGAAGAAGCAGTGGACAAGGTTGATGAGGGACATGATGGAGAATGCAAATAAGCAATTAAGTCCTTCAAAAAGCAGTTGCTTTGTCTTTTGTTGTCTGTCATGACATGCAATACATTCTAACTGTGATTGGGAGTTCAGCTAAATATGTGTATAGCCAAATAAAAGCAGATTAAAAAACCTGCAAAGAACAGGAATGACTTGAAATTCGGTCAAGATGCTTTTAATTTGTGATGTTAGAGCACAATATTTTTCAAACTTGAAAGAATATAATTTCTAGGGTTTTGTAATATTCAAATGTATATGTTTAATGTAGCTGCAGTCACCAGATGAAAGTTTCTAAAAATTAGGGAAAAGAAAAATCTACAAGAGATTATGGTTTTGTTTAATCCTCTCCCACCCTGGACTGGTGGTTGTGCAGCCTCAAAATTGCACATGGCTGCCCATTTTGGGTAGGTTCAGGCTGGATCGGGTAGGTTCAGGCTGGATATTAGGAAAAATTTTTTCACTGAAAGGGTTCTCAGACATTGGAATGGGCTGCCCAGGGAGGTGGTTGAGGCCCCATCCCTGGAGGTGTTCAAAAGCCGGGTTGATGTAGTGCTGGGAGGTATGGTTTAGTGATGATGCTCCTTGTTTGTTGTGTGGGTGTCTATTTTTGTCAGTCAGGTTGATGGTTGGACAAGATGATCTTTAAGGTCCCTTCCAACCTAGAAGATTCTGTGATTCTGTGATCAAGGCGCAGCCAGCGAAGTTCTGTCTCAACGCTTTCACAAGAAGCTCCAGCTGATTTGTGATGGGATTTCCTTCCTAAAAGTTAATCCTGTCTTTTTCCCCACCTCCAGACCCATTCTCACGCCCTTCCTCGTGCCACCACATGCATTCGTACAGTTTGTGCGGTCAGCTGGATCAGCTCATCCCAAAACTCTTTGTTTTCTTTTTGGGAAGGGAAGTTTTTCAGCCAGATCAGTTTGCTGGCTGAGGAGAGCATCCCCATTTCCAGGGGGCAGTGGGGGGGCGGGGCAAATCGGCTTAGGCAGCTCATGAAAATGAAGTTTTAAGATAAGACAAGATTTATGTACACAAGACCAGGCACTGTGCACCTCCTTCAGCTGACTAATCGCCTTGAAATCTGTGGTGCATGAAGCGGGACAGACGTCATGAAGCAGAAATTCAGAACACAAAGCCAGTGTAGGTCCTCTGAACCACTCTGCAGAGTGGTGCATCCTCGTAGAATCACAGAATCACAGAATCACAGAATCTTCTAGGTTGGAAGGGACCTTAAAGATCATCTTGTCCAACCATCAACCTGACTGACAAAAATAGACACCCACACAACAAACAAGGAGCATCATCACTAAACCATACCTCCCAGCACTACATCAACCCGTCTTTTGAACACCTCCAGGGATGGTGCCTCAACCACCTCCCTGGGCAGCCCATTCCAATGCCTGAGAACCCTTTCAGTGAAAAAATTTTTCCTAATATCCAGCCTGAATCATGGAATTGCCTGGGTTGGAAGGGACCTTTCAGATCATCGAGTCCAACCATCAGCCTAACAGTGACAAAACCCACCACCAAACCATATCTCTAAGCACCACATCTACCCAGCTTTTAAATCCCTCCAGGGATGATGACTCCACCACTGCCCTGGGCAGCCTCTTCCAAGGATTAATAACCTTTTCAGTGCAGAAATTTTTCCTAATATCCATCCTAAACCTCCCCTGGTGCAACTTGAGGCCTTTTCCTCTTGTCCTATCGCCTGCTTCTTGGGAGAAGAGATGGACCTCCCCCTTGCTACAACCTCCTTTCAGGGACTTGCAGGTAGAGACCTTCTTGCTCTCTACCTACTTCATCTACCAGCTCTAGAGGCTGGATGTGAACCACTTCTTGAGTGAGGGATGCATGTTAAAGCACGGAGAGAAAAATACAAGGCTTACAGCAGTTAGGCCATGCATTTGCTCTAGGTAGTTTCTACCAAATAAAATACAGATTTTTGCATTTTAGGAAAAAAAAAAAGAACTAAAAATAAAGGTTTACTTCTACACCATGTTTTACATCTAGCCTGTTGCATTGGCAGCTTAGTTAGCAGGATTGCTGAGACAATCACAAATTAAGAAGTTTATAAAGAAACCACGGTGTCCCGGATATCCTGCCTTTGCTTAATCCCTGTGTGCAAAAAGCACCCTCCAGCTAAAGCTCAGAGCCCTCAGTGGCTCTGAAAACATCGAGCCAGGTAGAGAAGAATGTGTTGATTTTCTTTCTCTTCCAGGCAGAGGAACCTTCATCTCTGAATTCCTGCTTTTGTTTCCATGCTTTTGCAATATGCACCCACCAGTTGTTTGAACTCACCAGGGTGAAGTCCCAATGTGGTCCTGGAGTCAGAAAAATGAAAGAGCTGCCTCGTCTGAGAGGGTACCTGGGAGCAGAAAAAAAGGAATAAGGTGAATAATGTAGCAATTAATAAATTGCATACGTTTTCCACAGCTTTGATGGTATCGTACATCTTCAACTCCTTGCACAAAAGCTGCAAAGACAATGATGTAGCACAGTCTTTGGGAAGGAGAGACCAAAAGTTTGGCCAGTATTTCCCACCACCATTGCAGGTGTTAGATTAAAAATCCCAGTTTGCTACAACAAACGGCTCCGTGCTACGGAGGGGGGCAAAAACCTCTCACTGGGCCCTGCAGGCTGGTCTGGAGGAAAATCTCTTTTTGACCACAAACCTGCCAAGCTGACCAAGAAGAAGGATACAACAATAATAATAATAATAATAAATAACAATATTGTGGCCTCGTTTTCCAAGGTTAATGAAGCTGAAATGAAAGGAGGCAACAAACTGTACCTTTGACAATGCAGCCTTGTAGTTTCCCATAAAATTACAAGCAGGAATTGAGTTGTGGTCTTTCATTAAGTCATTCCTGATCCAAGAAAGTTAAACCACCAGAAAGCCCTCCACACAATAGACCGTTTGTATAATCCTTGCTCTTTGAACAATGGTAAACGAATTGCCTTATGCAAGTCATTTATTGTACTAGCACCGAGTTAAGCAAACAAGTTACGTTCCAACTTTCACTGTCTGGTGGACTTAAGGTATGTTTCCAGCAACAATTTTTTAAAGCTTATTCTGGCCATAGTATGGAGAAACATTTTTGTCTGTCATTGGGTTTCTGCGTGTAGAATTTTAGTCCCAAACGGGCCACACACTTATTTTTTTTTCAAAGGCAGCCAGCTGTATCGCCTAATGGGGAGATTTCCCCCTCGCTGTCACAAACTCAGACAGAAAAGGCATCTCCTCACCAGCTGCACCTTTCTTCTCCGTACTGAGATCCCAGAGGATTATAAAAAACCTGGAAATAATATAGGAATGCAAATCCTTCTGACTTTCAAGCGACTCGCACTCCAGCACTGCTGAAAATTCATCTCAGAGGGTATTAGTAGTATTTAACGTCAGCAGCGCTCCGTATCGGAAGAGAAAAAAGCATTTGTCTGTGAAAGGTTTGTGCAGGGTGGGGTGTTCTGGATCAGTATTTGGAAAATATAAGTCAACCCACCCAGAAAATGCTTTTGCAATTCTACCAGCCAATGCAGAACAACAAGGTAAATGTTATATAAAGTGTACCTTATTGGAAGCAAGATGTGAAGGAATACAAGAGGCAAACATTTTATGCAGCAGATGTAGACTGCAAAGGTGAGCTAATTAGTAATTCTCCTCTGAAAATACATTTCTGTGCTGACCCTTTGCTTAACATCTGTTAATACCAGCAACACTATTTTACTTCAAGAAATCTATGATCTGCTGAATGCCTGAGCTGGTTCTGTGCTCCTCACTCCAGTAAGGACCAGTGTCCACGTTGCAGATTATGTTTTTGGGTTGACTCAAGAAATTGGCGTCTGGTATCAAAAAGACAAAACCACCAGGTGCAAGAAGGGCATCTCCTCTTCCCTCCCCACTGGTGGTGAAGGAATGTGGCTGCCACACACTCTTTGCACATTTCTCAAAGCAGCTTTAGCAGAAAATTATATACTTTGGTGTAGACAGGGAGTGAGAGCTGTTCAGCCACCTCAGTAGGTCCTACAGAAGAGGAACATCACTTGTCTGCAGCTTCTGGGGTCACTGGAGTCCCCTGGGGACCTGTTTAGGGTGCATTTCACCAGCTCCAAGGGTTTGAGCAAGGCAGCTGCCATGTAAGTAGTGCAAATGCTAAGCAAGAAGCATCTGCAGTGGAAAACCAGGATGTGGGATCATTGTCAAGGGTTCAAAGTGGTTAGAACAGTAAATATGCCATCTCTGGTATATATACACACATAGACGTAGCTATCTAAATATATAGATATCTAAAATAAATACCTAAAATTTATAAAATATATGAATATATTTTTAAAAGCTTGTTTAAAAGTCCCATAGGCACCAATTTAGACTTATGTAAAACCAGATGAAACTTTTCTTCGGACCACAAGACCTTCAGGTGCCTTAGGATCAGTCCAAACCTTTTAATACAATCACTGTGTCTGTGACACTGCTCCAGAAAGGAAAGTGGCATTTCCAAGAGCTGCATACCAGTACACCGCTTGCTAGAGGGAGAAGAAACTTCTGGAAGGGAACATTCTTTGGGATTTATAAGGGTACATACCGCTTGGGAGGAAAATCTGGGAATGAGCATCGGATTTCTTTGAAATTTAAAATAGAGTCATGTTTTTCTCACGAGAAAGAAAAATTCTTACTGTATAATCCCAACATCTAACCTGCTGGGCTGCTCAGACCAAAATTTATGTGTTTGATTAAACCTTCCCTGACTACAGATAGAAGAGCAAAGAGATAATTAATGGTTTGCAAGCTGTGCCCTGAGCAGCTATAAAGAGCTCCCCAGAACGGACTGAGCCTCAGTGTCTAAGACAGGCGGGAGGTTTCATGCTGGGAAGCAGGAGCACAATTTTATTCCATGAATTTTGATTTCTGACACCAGAGGCAGCCAAATTGTGGCCTGGAAGCCACACGAGGCTCGCAAAGTGTTCAGAGTAACTCCCAGTCATCCCAGTATGGATGTGGGCTGCTTGTAGCTGCCCCAGCTACATCGTCTGAGGTCCTGGGTGCACCTCGGGTTGTGTCCCTCTGCCCGTGGGGACCAAGGGGACTGCAGGTACGAGGCTGCCATTGAGAAAAAGTAGGAATTTAGCCTGTTTGTATTAATGCACTCATCTTCCCACCAAATGGAGATTTTATGGGGTATAAGCAGTTTGAAACCCTTTCCCCTCATCCTACGGCTTCACTCACTGAGCAAGAGTCCCTCCCCAGCTTTCCTGGAGACCCTTTAGGGACTGGAAGGGGCTCTAAGGTCTCCTTGGAGCCTTCTCTTCTTCAGGCTGAACCCCCCCAACTCTCTCAGCCTGTCAAGAAGATCTGTGTTGGGTGTTTGGATGACTGAAGGGAACCTGGGGCAGATATTTCTATATAACATGCCTTTTGTGGGAGGTATTACCTGCATTTCTCCCCACAGCTGAGTGACCAAGGGAGAAAGTTTAGATGATGGAGTCTAAGGTGGAGAAATTTCTCTCCAGCTCTTGTGGACAGCTGGAAAAAAAAAGCTTCCTGTAGATTTCTGAACCCCTAAAAGTCGTTCTAAAATGTCAAGGTTTCCAAGTTAACACCCTCATATGTGATCATTTCCCCTTTTCATGAAAGAATAGTGGCTGGGTAGTCTTGTTGCTGAGCAGTAGAGGGGTTAATGTCACACAGAGATGTGTGATCATCTCTGCAGGTTGTTTTTTGAAAGATGCCACCAGGCAGGTTCCTAGGAGAGACCAAGAAAAGCCTTTTTCAAGGACAGTGGGGAGGCCAGAGTGGGAGGTATCTCATGCATTTAGCTACATGAATCCCACCCCAGCTTGAGCAGCTTCTGAAATGCTGCAATCCCACAAGGTACATGCCTTACAATGCACGTGCCAAAATAAAGCACTGCTTTGGATGAAAACCTTATTAGAACATCTGTTTAATAGGAATAAAACACGTTGGGCAGTAAGTGGAAATGTGCAGTGGTTGCTTTAAACCTATGAGAGTAAGAAGACATGATAATAGTTATACAATACCTTTAAATTTGAGTTTTTTGAAAGGCTGCTGTAGCCAAAAGTACTTGCTTATACCTCATAAAAATCTCAATTTGGTGGGAAGATCCTCATCCCTGGAGGGGTTCAAGGGATGGGACTTGGAACAACCTGGTCTAGTGGGAGGTGTCCCCTGCCCAGGGCAGAGGTTTGGAACCAAATGATCTTTAAGGTCCCTTTCAACCCAAACCATTCTATCATTCTATGATCTCAAAGCTTCATCACATCTCCTGGTGTCCCCTCTCCAGTCACTGCTTGCTCACTGAGCCTTGATGAGGCACCATTGAAACGAAGATCATTGGGTTGATTGTCTGCAGAATTGCCTGAATTTCTGCTCTGCCTGCTACAAAGCTCTTCAAAACTACAAAGCCAAATTTAGTCACCTGCATGACTACCACGAGCATGACGTGTAAAGGGATGACTCATGATTGCAGTGTTCAGATGGGCATCTCTCATGAAGGTTTTTCAAGACTCTGGAGCCAACGCTGGTGAATTAAAGGTCAGCAACGACCGTAAGAGCAATCCTGGAAGTGTTACCTAACACATCTCCCAACGCAACAGAAGAAAAAGCAGAGCTGTGTGACAGAGCAACTGCAACTGTTGATCATTGCTCAAAACACTGTAGGATTAATTGAAACAAGTGCAGAGTGGCCTGGATGCAATTGTTTTGGTACCCGAAGACAGCAAAATAAAGTATCACGCTGGTGCCAACAGTTGGGTATAGTTAATTACTGTGTTTACTGCAAAGCTGTTGAAACAGCCCAGCCTAGTTGTAGGAACATCTATAGGTATCTCTGCTGTGCCACCCAAGCAACCCAACTAAAGTCACGTTCAGTCACCTCATTGAAAAAGATTCTTCTTGATAGACTGTCTCCAGCATAATTTCCTCGTTTAAGACAGGATGAGCAGATACAGACTCTTGCCTTATCTTACCAGGCTCAAGACGAGCAGAAAGTGTTAATTATAGCCAGCTGATTCATGTAACTCTGAAGCCTATTTCAAAGTGATTCAGAACTTTGGGCTTATGAAGGCGATTACGTGAACACACAAAAATAATTTTCGAGATGCAAAATGTTGCGGCAACACTCTGGCAAAGCAAATCTCTCCAATCTAAAAGCAAGGGAAGGACAATCTCGTTGAGACTGTACAGAAAGAACAAACACTTCTGTTTTGGTACCCTCTGTTTGCTTCAAGAAATGAATGTTCCAGGCTGCTTACCAGCAAATGATGATACTGCCAATCTTGCCAAGAGTAAATCTTTCCAGAGCCTGTTAAAATAGAGATTGCCATGCTGATGACCCAGAGAGAGATTAGCTA